AGATGTCAACAAGGTCCATTCCAACGGGATTTGCTTTTCCTGCTTTTTTAATACTTGATTCTGTTTAAGCCACGTTAACTGCAGTTAACTGCCGTCTCCCGGTCCGTCCCGCTAACGTTGGTGCCGTGCCCTTGTTTTGGACGCAGAGCCTCGGCGTGGTGCTGTACGTGCTGGTGTGCGGCGCTCTGCCCTTCGACGGGAGCACGCTGCAGAACCTGCGGGCCCGGGTGCTCAGCGGGAAGTTCCGCATTCCGTTCTTCATGTCCACAGGTACGGGGCGCACGGGCCGCGGCGCGCCGGCAGCCCCGACACGGCAGCCCTGACCCGGCGCTGCCCGCGGCTCTGCTGGCAGGCTCTCGGGAGCATCGCGGTTGGGTTCTGTGCCAGCGAGGTGGAATGCTGGGAAGCTTGTCCGCTGGCTGGGGGTTTGTAGTGTGAGCTGAAATAGTTGAGAATCTGGAATTTAGAAACTGAAATGCTCTTATTTAAAATCTCAGCTTTTACGTGTATCGCTGTGCAAAGTTACAGCAAAATGTTAGCGAAGATGGACTCTCTCCACATTTTGGGAAATGTGAAAGCTAGAGGGGGCATGGTGATTTGGGAATGTGGAGGCTTTCACCCTACCTGTTTTCGACAAGGAAGCTTTTTACAGCATTTTCCCCCGTGAATTTCCAGCAACAGCCCCCTCAGAGACAAATGTCTGTGTTTGGTTTCTGCAAAAACGCTTCTGAACGCTTTAGCAACAAGTCTTGGTTTTGACAAGTGTGATTAATTCTCAGATAAAACCAACTTCATGTAAGAACGAGCCCTGTGCAGGTTCTTGGTTGCCTCCTCTCAATTTAAGGAACGATTTTGCACGGGCTCTGTGGAATTTCCCAGCTGAAAGCTTCCTCGCCTGCCTCCTTGCTGGGCGCAGAGGTTCTCCTGCAAACACTTGCCAAAACTCGAGCTTAGGTCCCACCCTAGGCCAGGGAGAGCCTCAGCGTGCCCTGGTGACAGCGATGGGAAGTCATCCGCAGTGAGCCTTTGCCAGGTGGGGAGAGTTCAGCGGCTGCTTTGCCCTTCAAGCCCCCAAAGCCAGTCGTGTCCCCTGGCCTGCGCCAGTGGGGATGGGGTGACCGTGCCAGCTCGGGGCTCTGGCAAACAGCACATGGGCCTGGTGGCCCGGGTGGCTTCCTTCCCTCCTAGCACGGCCACACCAGCGGGTGTCTGCAGAGAAGCGGCGCGTCGGGGACGGGGTGGGGGCAGGAGAAGCACGTTCCCGCGGTGGGTGAACCCTGCGGAGAAGCTGCTGCGGGAGCCAACCCCTCCGCGGGTGCTCAGCCCCCCTCTTCCCTCGCAGAATGTGAACATCTGATCCGCCACATGCTGGTCCTGGACCCCAGCAAGCGGCTCTCCATGGAGCAGATCTGCAAGCACAAGTGGATGAAGCTTGGGGAGGCCGACGCGGAGTTTGACAGGGTGAGAAGCTCCAGAGAGCCGCTGGGTGAGCGGGGCCTGCTCGGCGCCTGCCGGGCTGCCAGCGGCCGCGAAGTGCCGCCGGGTTTGCTTTGGCCCTCCCGAAGGCTCGTTCCGAGTGCGCTGCCTTTCCGCATTTGGCATCTCCCGGTCTTGCTTTCCTCCTCTGTGTGTATTTTTGTGTCCTCCCCTTGGCGCTGAGAGCCTACGGCACTGGATTTTGCGTCGCCGTGCCATCGGCCTCCAGAGCGCCCGCAGCCTGCAGCTGGAGCCGGGGCGCTGCGGCTCACGCCGTGCCTTTGGCTCTGTCCCTGCTCGCGCAGCTCATCGCCGAGTGTCAGCACCTGAAGACCGAGAGGCAGATGGAGCCGCTGAACGAGGACGTGCTGCTGGCGATGGCGGACATGGGGCTGGACAAGGAGCGCACGGTTCAGGTAAGAGGCTGCGGCTGAGCCACGTCCCGCCTGTTCCCATCAGGAGCCAGCGGCCGCGGTGCTCACTTGCCACCTCTGCGCACCGAGCAGCCTCGGCACGGCGTGGAGCGTGTCCTGTCGCTTGGCAAAAAGAACCGACTGCTTTTTCCTCTTCCAGTCATTACGAGCCGATGCTTACGATCACTACAGCGCGATCTACAGCCTGCTCTGCGACCGCCTGAAGAGACACAAGAATCTGCGCATCGCGGCATCTCCGAGCGTGCCCCGGACCGTGACCTTCCCCACCTCTGCGGCCATCCAGGTAGATCCCGCCTGCAGCGTCCGTCCAGCCCTGGCAGGGCGGCCTGGCCCGGCCCGGCTCGTGGGCGTCCCCGGCCCAGCAGCAGCGTCCAGATGTTCGTGGCCCAAGAACTTTGTGTGTGGTTGGGGTGCCCTAACCATGAGGTTAGGAGCGGTTTGTTCGTCGGCTGCCAGCTTAGCGCGTTCCCTTGGGACGAAGCTGTGGGTCAGCGTGGGGAGGAGGCAGCAGCGTGAGGGGGCTGCTGGCAGCCCGAGTTCACAGACAGGCCTGCAGCACACTGCTGCCTCCTCGTTTGCGCTGCCGTCGAGCAGTGAGGGTTTGCTCTGAGAGGCCAGGTCACAGGGGAGGCAGGAGTGGCGCTGACCCTGCCTGGCAGCGGGCAGGAAGGGAAGTGAGGCAACCCCTCGGGAATGAAGAGCAAACACATCTTCCCTGGTCCTGGGTAGCCGCCCTGGGCCCAGCTGCTCGGGCCTGGGCGCTGGAGTTAATCCCGCAGCGTTGTGGCGAGGCTGTCCGAGACGCTCCGTGTCTCCTGACGCCGATCTCTCTGCTCAGCAGACGGAGCAGACCAGCAACACCATGAGCATCAACGTGCCCCAAGTCCAGCTCATCAACCCCGAGAACCAGATTGTGGAGGTGAGGTGCACCCCTTGCTGACCCCTAAAAGTTCTTTCCCTGGGCTCTCGCTGGAGCCCTGGGCTGGATCCTCGCGGGGTATTTCCACATCTCCAACGTTCTGCCTGCCCAGACCGACGGAACGATGAACCTGGACAGTGACGAGGGGGAGGAGCCGTCGCCTGAAGCGCTGGTCCGTTACCTCTCCATGAGAAGGCACACGGTGGGAGTGGCTGACCCACGGTTAGTACTGCTAGTACTGTTAGTACTGTTAGTACTTGTACTCCCCGAGGGAGGCTGAGGGGAACCTGAGGATTTACTCCCAGCACGTGACTTTGGGCCTTCTGACACCTCGCAGATTTATTCATGTGTCACGCTGGCAGATGGGAGGCTAATGCCTTGAGGGCACTTCTGGGCTCTGTGCCGTGTAAGAGTTGATATTTTTTGGCATTGGTCTCCAGTTTTGGGCTGGCAAAGGCACTTCACAGCGTGGCCATCGGTCCTGGGTCTCGGCTTCACCCCAGCCAGGTGGTGACAAGCGTCTGGATCGGTATCACGGCCACTGCCAGACATTTGCTTTCCCACTCCTGCTGTGTGTGGCTTGAGGTTATTCCCCCAAACTTGCTTTCTGCTAGACGGAGAAAGAAATTCAAGGTGTCTCTTTCACAGAAGTGTTCTTCTAAACATCCTAGTCCCGTTGTACAGCCCGGTTAGTGCTTCAGCTGAGGACGAGGCACTTTCCCCCTCCTCTTCCCGGTGAGCTGTGGTGGTGTTCACGGGTGCGCTGGGCAGTTTCCCCCAGGCTGTCCTGCCGTCACCTTCCAGGGGAAGGCTTTGTGAACTTGTCATTAGTTGAGGCTAATGCAGAGAGCTGCTTCGGGCAAATCTCAACTCAGAGGGGAAAAAGGGACAAATGAAAACCAAGGAGTGGCTTGGCTGCTCTCTGTGGCCGTTTCCCGAGCAGTAAGGAGCGTTGTTGTGAGGAGCGTGTGTGCCGGGCCCGGGGGTGGTTGGTTCTCTTCCGTGGTTGCTGACTCACCTGTCCGAATGTGATTGCACAGGACGGAGGTCATGGAAGATCTGCAGAAGCTGCTGCCTGGCTTCCCCCGCGTCACTCCCCAGGCCCCGTTCCTGCAGGTGACCCCCAACGTGAACTTCATGCACAACGTGCTGCCTCGGCAGAACCTGCAGCCCACGGGCCAGCTGGAGTACAAGGTACCGCCCCGGGCGCTCGCTCTCTGCCGCTTCCCTGGGCTCCAGAAGCTTCGAGGTTTCCCCTCTCGCTGTCTCTTTTGGGATGATCCTAGTTGGTTCCTTAAAAATGAGAGTGCAGGATGAAATTAATGAATGGGCTGGGGAGAGACAGACGTGCGCTGCCTGGCTTTGGGGCTGCGGGTTGCAGAGGGTGGGGACACGGGGAGTTAAACCCCGCTTTCCCAGCGCCACTGCCCCGCGTCAGCTCGGGGACGTCGCGATGCTCCTTCGCCTCTCCTGAAGCCGGAAGGCTCCTCTCGTCTCCTCTCGTGCCAGCACCGGGGTCGTGCCCCGGGAGCCGGGAGGCCACGCTGCAGGGGGGTAACGGCGCTGTCTGTGCTTGGCAGGAGCAGTCCCTGCTGCAGCCCCCCACGCTGCAGCTGTTGAACGGCATGGGCCCGCTGGGCCGCCGCGCCTCCGACGGCGGAGCCAACATCCAGCTGCACGCCCAGCAACTGCTGAAGCGCCCGCGAGGTCCCTCTCCGCTCGTCACCATGACGCCAGTAAGTAGCAGAAGGGAGGAGGAGCCTTGGTGGCTGCTTAGAAATCCCCGCTCCTGCGGGCAGAGGCGGCTGCCTCCAGGTCGGAGCAGCAGGAGCTCGGGAAGCGCCGCTGGGGGGGTGCCCGCCGCATCCCAAAGGTCCCCCTGCTCCAGAGCGGCGCGGCACTCGGTCCCCTGTGGGAGGGCGTTCCTCTCCGGAGCTGACAAAGCATTTGTGAACTTTTTTAGTGGATGCTTTTCTTCTCCTTTGCTGATCTGAGGGACGGGGAAGGGATCTCACCCTGGGCTCGGCACTGGGGAGGCCGCCCCTTGGTTACTGGGTTCAGTTCTGGGCCCCTCACCCCAAAAGGCCATTGAGTGACTCGAGCGTGGGCAGAGAAGGTTGCAGGAGGCAGCTGCTGCATGTCTGTTCAGAGGCAGCGGCGGCTGCCAGCTGGCCCGGCCCGGCTCTGCCCTCGCCGCACGCGCCGCGGCGGAGCGGGGCGCAGCGTGGGACCCCTCTGCCCCACGCAGGGCTGGAGCTGGGGCGGGCTGCACGGGACGATGCTCCCTGCTTTCAAAATACGGTTGGTTCCCGAAGTGCTGCAAAGCCCCCTCGTGTATGTGCAAGGGTAAACAAAAGTCACTAAACCAGAATAATTTGCTCAAAGCATGTGAAGTACCAAACCACCAGCATATTCTTGCACAGTCGGAAAGAGTTTGCATCTGAACTTGAGGACAAGTGCTTGGTTGTTAGGAGACGGAAGCTGATCCTCGCTGCCTGCTCTGGGCGCCCTCATCCAGGCACTTGTCACACGTCCTGCTCTAAATGTGGGACGGAACAGCCCGTGAGCTTGCAGCGGTGGGAAAGACGCTGTGCAGCTGTGTCCTATTTCCCTGCAATAGTCCTCCAGAGGCCGCCTGCTCTTGTGTTTTGGAAGTTCAGATGACTTCATTTCCAGCAGCAAAAACCCAAAGGGTGTTTCACTGCCTTATTTTTGACACCGTGATGCTTTTAAAGCACGCTTACCATCTCCGTGCTCCGGTTGGAGGCAGGGTTTGAGCGGTGTTGTCTGTGCTCCGGGTGCTTCCACAGGAACACGCTGCACTAGGTCGTAAGAAACCATCTCCACATCGAGAACGTTGGCCCCGCGAAGGGCGGGAAGGAGGAGAGGCGGGTGTCCCCTCCCCGTGCCGAGCCAGCGGGAGCCCCGCCGGCGGTGCCGAGCTGTGCCAGGTGCGCTGCTGAGCTCTGCAGAAGCCGTTGGAAGGAGGAGAGGAGAGACACCTGAAATTAGGTCACAGAAACTCCCGTCAGGAAAGCGGCGCCGGCGGGCGGGAGCGCGGATCCCTGTCCGTGCGGAGCCCGGCGGGGTTGTCTGCGCCTCCCACGGAGCTGCTGGCCGGCGCTGGCCTCGCGGGTCACTCGC